CCTCCTCCTCCTGCTCCTCCTCCTCCTGCTTCTCCTCCTCCTGCTCCTCCTCCTCTTCCTGCTCCTGCTCCTCCTCCTGCTCCTCCTCCTGCTCTTCCTCCTCCTCCTGCTCCTCCTCCTCCTCCTGCTCCTCCTCCTGCTCCTCCTCCTCATCCTTCTGCTCCTCCTTTATTTTCACCAGTCTTGCCTTTCTCACTTTTTATTTTGACAGGTGTTTCTCCCAGAAGTAATCCCCAATGAACCCTGAATGAAATCCTCCATTTCATAGTCTGTTTCCAGGGAACCCAATCTAAGCCAATTAGCACCAGGAGTGATCCTGGAAAGCTGACTATAAAGTGGGAGTTGGGAGATGATGACCCCCCAGTTGGCAGTGTGGACCCCATCACTGTGGTCAGAGTAGCATGGACAGTCTCTGGAGTACTTTAGCAGTACAATGGCAAAATGTCTAGCAAAGTGACATGTGTTAGGACACCATTGGGAGGTAATGCACTGGCTGGGTGAGATCTTGGACACCAGGGAGTCATGAAGGGAAATTAGAATGACCTTGAAATTGGTGGATGTGGCTGAGAGCCACTGATTTGCACACTGAAGGCAGATGATCAGACCTAAGACTCAAGGCAAAACGTGAGAAAAGGATTTCCTTTGCAGAGTCTAAGGACACTTTCAACTCCTGCAGCAGAGGGCCATCAGCACAAGGAACTGGACTCAAGACCTAATCATCTGAGAGCAGCAGAGCCTCAGAGATCGTTGATTCTCAGCTTGCAGGTGTCCAACCCCAGGGTCAAGGCCAGGCCAGGAGAGGAGTGGGACTCTGAGACCAAGAAGGCGTGGTTATCTGGGCTGATGCAGTTGAGAAGTTTGATCTGCCAGCTTCTCCCAAACCCACTGGGCCTGCAGAGGGGACCCATCCACTGGGGTAGAATGCAGTGAGCACCTCCTTGCCTGAGTGTCACACGAGACCTCAGATGAGGCAGGTGCCCCACAAGACCTTGCTGGAACCCTTCACGATCCTCGCCCCAGTCTCCTCTCCTCCTGTTAATCAGACGAATAGAAATCATGGTCAAACCCCTTATAGCCAACAAAGCCAGTGAAGGGAAGAGGGGCTACAACAAAGGTGTGCAAACTCTATCAAATTCTTGAAAGAAGAGGTGAGGTGCGTGTATTGGACAGAATACGGAGCGTGATGGAATAGAGAAGGAAGAAAATTGTATAAAGGAGAATGTCTCCACATGCAAATGTATTCAAGTCCCTCATAATGCAGAACTCAACACCCTGGCAAGAATTCTAGGACAAGGTGCCAGGTTAAATCCTAGAAGCTTGGAAAAAGCAATGGCCCACACTACGTAGATGTACCAGAACTTCCCCGGCAAGTGATGAGAGAAAGGCCCAAAGGGTTCGGAAAAAGTGGGCATAACAGGGTGGATATAGGCAGAACACCTACCAGTTAACTATGTTCCATGGGAGGCTCGGAGGATTCTCTATTTACCAAGGGATAGGGAATGTGCTGGGAAAGGGACACAGCATCATTGAGATGTCCAGTGGCGTGTGTTGTCCTTCAGCTGGAACTGGCAGGAGGAGATGCCGTTACAGAATTGGGCTTTCTGATAGCAGTGGGAATGCTAGCATCTCAAAAACCAAGTAGAGCAGGTGGAGGACAGTAGGCGACTGCTTACTTAGCCAAAGAGCAGCCTCAGTTGCAGCTACTGGGCCAGATGTGGTACCTTGGTCAGAGCAGATTGACAAGGTTCCAGCATGTGCTGTGCAGACATCACCCTGGCAAATGCATTCTTTTCCCTCCCTTCTCAAGGAGGACCCAAAGCAGTACACACTTACAATCACAGTGTGCAGTTACAGTGTTGCCCCAGGGCTTTGTTGATTCACCTTCCGTCTACCAAAGAGGCTGATCCATCTGTACTGTCCACAGATTATCAAATGAGTCCACCATCTTGGTGACATTGTGCTAATTAGAGCAACTAAGCAAGAAGGGGCAGAGGTGCTGGAGGCCTTGGTAAAGCACATGTGCTCCAAAGGGTGTACACGAACTCTGTGTTGTCAGGGTCTTGCCACAGCAGCAACGCTTTTAGCATCCAGTGGCCTGGGGCATGGAAAGACAATCCCCACCCCCACCAAATAAATGACTAATTATCGCATTTCCCTACTCCCACAACTAAGAAAGGAGCACAATGCCTTGATAGCCCTCTTTGGGTTTGGGGGGCAGCATATTCTATACTTAGAAAACTGCTCAGACCCATTTACCTGGTGACATGAAAAGTGGTCAGCTTTAAGTGAGGCCAAGAAAGGGCTCTGCCTCAGGTCCAGGATGTGACACAAGCACCCTGTCACTTGGCCATACAACCTGGCAGACCCTGTGGTATTAGAGGTGTCTGTGTTTGGAAGAAGCATCAAGTAAATTGATGACAAGCCCCAAAAGAATCACAATGTGATGCTTAGGGTTTTGGAGCAAAACCATGCCATCTGCCACAGACATTTCATTTGAAAGGTAGGACCTGGCTTGCCATAAGACCCTAGTAAAAATGAACTATGTGAGCATGAACATCAAATGGCCTTCTAGCCAGAGCTGTCCATCACGACATGGGCTTTGTCATACCCATCAGGTCATAAAGTCAGGCCAACGCAGCATCAATCTTTGGTAAGGTAGAAGAAGTATATCGGGGCATAAGCAGGACCTCTGGTCTGAAAGTAAGCTACATAAGCAGATAACCTCAATCCTCATGTCATCTACCATTGATGCACTGGTGTCTCTGTCCCAAAGGTCACCCCTATTGCTGGGGCTGAGAGATCAGGGAAGGGCTACCTTACATCCACCCATTGCAGAAGGAGACGTCTGAGCTTGATATATGGTTGGGTCACCTTGGTGAGTCAGTGTGAGCTGCAAATGGGCTGTGAGTGCCCCATCAGGAGTGACTCTAAAAGAGAGCAATGAGGAGAACTCTTCCCAATTATCCAGACTTTGGGAGATGCTCCTGCCTCCCATTTTGTGGAGAGACACATGGCCCAGAGCATCTTTATCGAACTGGCTCCTGAATCCTGAAAGGAGAAAGATTGGAAGATTGAAAACAAGTTCTCAGGAAGGTCATCTAGATGGACAAATAACAATGAACATAAAGTGTGAAGACTTTAGTATCACAGGTTAATAGCTACCAAAATCACCTACAATGGGAAAGACCTTAAACAACCAAGGGGACAGAAGGACTCAGTCATCTGACATCAGCCAGTATTTGTTATGGCCCCCTAGTACAGGTATGATGGGCATGAGGCTCTGCATGGGCCCAATGGGAAGGGCTTGCATCACCAAGGCTGACGTAGCTACTGGTGCTACTGAATATCCAAACTACTAGCCACAGAAGTCAAAACTGAGCCCCATATTTGACACCATCTTGAGGAGATGGATTAGGTTCTTGGTGGCAACTCTCAAGGCCTTTCACCCTGAAAGGGGTTATGATTCAGCTTGACTATTATAACATATTATCCAGTATGAGTTTGCCTTTTCTATCCATAGGGCTTTGGCTAACCCAACTGTCTGAGGATTAAAGGGGATATCTTAAGCTGACATAAAATTCCAACCAGCATGGCATTAGGCCAAAGGACCAACTTCAAAAAAAAAAAAAAAAAAAATTTTGAGCAATAGTGGCAACGGGCATTTGACCATGGGACCCACTGGTCCTGCCACCTACTGCACCCTCAGGTGTTACAAGCCTAATGCAGCCATGGACGGCCTCTTAAGGAAGAAGCTAAGATGTCAACTTGAAGATAACACCATTGTCTGGATACAGTATGGATGTTAAATGAATGACCACTGTACGAAACTGTGACCCTAGAGGTTGAATACATGAGTCAGGAAACTAAAGGCTGTGAGGAAGAGTGGGTCCACTTACCTTCAACCCATCCCCCTCGGGATTTACACTTCCAATCCTACACCTTAGGCTCCGCGGGTCTAGATGTCTTGGTTTCCAGAGAAGGAATATTTGGGGTCTCAGTAAGAGTCCATTAAACCTTAAGCTGCAACTGCTAACAGTCACTGGGCTTCTCATACCCGAAGGCAAGTGGCATGGAAAGGGTCCGGACAGAAGATGGGGCTGCTGCTAGACACTGGGGGTGGGAAAGAATGTCTCTTTGGCAGTAAATGTAGCCACTGAGGCATCTCTTAGTGCTCATATGCCTTCTTTTTATTTTTATATTTTAGGGAGAGAGAGAGAAACATCATGTGAGAGAGAAACATCAGTGGGCTGCCTCCTGCTCCCCGCAACTGGGGATTGAGGGAAACCCGGGCATATGTCCTGACCAGGAATCCAACCGGAACCTCAGTCCATGGGAGGACGCTCAATCTACTGAACCACACCGGCAGGGCTCGTGTGTCGTCTTCTAACAGTAAATTAATAGACACAGTAGCCATGAATTAAGAAGAACCTGGGAACCAGGGGCTCAGAGCCCTCAGGGATGAGTGTGTGGTTAACCCCACCAGAAAAAAATCACTTAGACGAATTAAGTATGGGTAAAGGTGAGGGATATCTAGAATGGTGATGGAGCAGGAGGTTGGGAGTACTAGTTGTGGCTGGAAGATCAACTGTAGCAGGCGGCTTGCGCGGTGCTGGGCCCTGGGGTCCGCTGCGTCCCAGGGAGCAGTGGGCTCTGAGCCCAGCCGCCCTGAGCTCTCGGATTGGAGCTGGTGCCCGAAGCCAGTGCCAGGTGCTGGAGCCGGGTGCATGGCCCGCTGCAGCCAAGCTCCTGGCCAACTGAGCGGAAGCAGGCCCAGCAGCCCGGGTCGAGGCTATGGGAGGAGCGCCTGCGCGGATGGAAGGAGGGGAGGAGGTTGCGCTGCCCCAGCCCCGCCCCAGGCACCCGCGCAGCCCCCTCCCCTTCCCGCGCCAGGTTGCCCGCGCGCCCCGCCCGTTGCAGTTCCAGGTCCACAGGCCGTAGCTGTGGTCAAACCTCCAGAACACTACCCTGGAGGAGCGGATCTTCTGGTTAGAGTGGTCCCCATGGATAGGACAAAAAAGACCAAAGGGCAGCTGTCAGTGACACCCCGAGGGGGCCGAGGCGTACACAAGGCCAGCAGCGTCCCGGAACAGACAGGACCAGAGGAGAGTGGCTGTGGCGGCGGCAGTGGCCTTGGAGGGGCCCCCACCCGTTCTGCCCCTGGGGAGCTTCACTGTGGCCCGGGACCTCTCATCTCTGCCCCAGAGATTGCACATGAGGACTTGAAGATGGGGTCTGACTTGAAGATGGGGTCTGACGAGGAAAGTGACAAGGCTTCAGCCACGGCCTTGGATGAGGAGGTGCGGTCACCAGTGAGGGTGCGCATGCGCAACCATCCCCCGTGCCAGATTTCCAGTGACGACGTCGGCCAGCGCCTATCACTACCAGCTGACCTCGGGCTGCCCCAGGACTACCTGGAGAAGCTGACCCTCAATAGCCCTATCCTCGACAAGCCCCTCAGCCGCATCCTCAACCATGTCAGCCTGTCCGAGGTTGGCTTTGCGAAACTGGAAACCTATGTCAAGCTGGAAAAGCTGGGTGAGGGCAGCCATGCCACTGTTTATAAAGGCAAAAGCAAGGTCACAGGCAAGCTTGTGGCACTCAAGGAGATCAGACTGGAACACGAAGAGGGGGCACCCTGCACTGCCATCTGGGAAGTGTCCCTGCTCAAGGACCTCAGACATGCCAACATTGTCAGGCTACATGATGTTATCCTCACCGAGGGGTCCCTCACCCTTGTCTTTGAGCACCTGGACAAGAACCTGAAGCAGTACCTGGATGACTGTGGGAACGTCATCAATATGCACAACATGAGACTGTTCCTCTTCCAGCTGCTCCGTGGCCTGGCCTACTGCCACCGGCAGAAGGTGCTACACCGAGACCTCAACCCTCAGAACTTGCTCATCAGCAAAACAGGAGAGCTCAAGCTGGCTGACTTTGGCCTGGCGCGGACCAAGTCAGTTCTCATGAAGAACTACTCCAGTGAGGTTGTGACGCTGTGGTACCGGCCCCCCGACCTCCTGCTCGGGTGCACGCGCTATTCCACCCAGATTGACATGTGGAGTGTGGGCTGCATTTTCTACGAGATGGCCACGGGCCAGCCCCTCTTCCCAGGCTCCAGCGTGGAGGAACAGCTGCACTTCATCTTCCGAATCTTGGGAACCCCAACTGAGGAGACGTGGCCGGGCATCCTGTCCAACAAAGAGTTCAAGACACACAACTACCCCAAGTACCGAGCTGAGGCCCTTTTGAGCCATGCTCCCCGACTTAATAGTGATGGGGCTGATCTCCTCACCAAGCTGCTGCAGTTTGAAGGTCATAATCGGATCCCCGCACAGGACGCCATGAAACACCCATTTTTCCTCAGTCTGGGGGAGCAGATCCACAAACTTCCTGACACTACTTCCATATTTGCACTAAAGGAGATCCGGCTACACAAGGAGGACAGCCTTTGCTCTTTGTCGATGCCTGTCTCGGGCAGGCCAGCTTTCCGTGTGGTGAACCCCGAGTTCTAAGCCACATACCCAGGCCCCAGCAGGCAGCACTGGGGAGATGCCAACCTCCTCACAGGGCAGCCCCCAGTTGCATCCTCCCTGCTTGTTGCCTGCCTACCCCCCTGATTCATGCTCACCTGCCCTCATGTTCCCTGCTGCCTGTCCAAACAGCTGACCATTGGCCTGTCTACCCATCTATCGGCCTGTCTTCTGGGTCCTAACAAAGCTTTCATTGCTCCTTTTAAAAAAAAAGAAAGAAAGAAATCAACTGTAGCAATAGGAGGTATGGTTTGTCCACTAATCCTTTGCCTGAAAATTCTTAGAAAATGAGACCAATCTGAATCCTGAAAGACCTGTTTCTAGATGAGATGTAAGAAGTAAGCCGGTCTGAGTGGCACAAAAGGCAGATGTAGTGGATACCACGGTTGTTTCCCCAGGTCCCCTTTTCTCTGAACATCCAGCCCCCCTGCTGCTAGGAATATTGCTGTTGATAGCTCAGAGCTGCATCCCTCTGGGCCAATTGTCCTTAGCAGGAGGGAACTGGTTCATTCAAGGTTATTCTTCCTCCCAGGAGGTATCCCATAGCCAACCGGTGACTGACTGATGTGAATACACAGCCACCACACCCTTGTCTCAGTTTGGGACAACTCTGGAGGTCTGTCCCAGCTCCATAGTTCTGTGGGATCAGCCAAACACTTGGTTGCAACATCATTGCTGATCAGTTTCTCCTGCTACCTATTCAGTTGTGTGTGTTTTCTCACAGGTGTATCTCCTAAGAGCAATCTATAAGAAGCCCTCCACATGTGTTCTTTGTCTCGGGGTCTGTGTCCAGTTAACCTAAGTCAGTACATGTCACTTTCCTGGATTGAAGTTTACATCATGTCAGATGCATTTTCCTATAGGTGTGAGAATGTCCCCACCCACCCACACCTTTGAGTGAGAGTCAACAGTCAACATAGAGCTGATCCCCCCAGATGTCTAGGGACTTATAGGGAAGAAGTCTGTGTATGACCAGAGTCTGTCCCAGCTTGGTAAAATCACAAATGAAGCCAGGATCACTGCCCTACAGTGTGAGGCACACATGTCCCCACTCAAACGAGTGGAAAGGCTACAGATTTAGGAGGTGGAGGGCCAGCAAAGCAGGGCTTCTGCAAAAATGTCACCACCTATATCTCTGCCTCAGCCAGTGGAAAGTTGGACCTTCCACTCCACAAATCTACCCACAAGCAACCCTGAAGCTCTCTCATAATGGGAATAAATAGTGTGTATCTGGACTAACATCCAAGAAAGAAGATGTTCTCAATTACCTCTATGGCCTCAAAGTTTACCTAATTCACATCTATACAATACTTTTCTGTTCTCGTAGTTTTTAGTTTATTTCTAAATTTTAGCATGTACCACACTATAATTATTTAGGAGGGGCTGTTCTACTAACATATTGTGAGATCTTTCAAAGCAAGAAGGCAGATTATATTCATCTTCATGGTCCTGGGGCCTGGCTAAGTGGCTGTGGCTTAGGTCCCAGGAGATACAACAGACCACGTCACCCCAGCTATCTCCAAATGGCAAACATCCAGCCAACTAAAAAGGCTATTTAAATATGTGTTAAAAGTGTATATATCCTTTGATAAAACACTAAGTAACCTTTTAAATAAAGGAATGCTTTTTTTCCTATAGACTTATCTGTTTTCTAATGTCGTCACACCAAGAGGCATGTGTTTGTAACATTTCTTAAAAGAAAGAAGGAACCATCAATCCCTGGAGATTGTGCCCTTCATTCTAAAAAGAAACTCTAAGTCTTGTTTTTGAAGGTTCTTAACCTCTTACACATTCTTTTTTGGAAATGTACCAAAAGGTCTGTGTGATTCAGGGTTCTCCAGAGAACAGAACCAATAAGAAATATATATATATATAAATATATGAGATTTATTGCAGGAAGGCTCACATGATTATAAAGCCAAGAAGTCCTGCTGTCTGCCATCTGTAAAGTGGAAAACCAGGAAAGCCAGTGGTGTAATTCTGCCCGAGTCTGCAGGCCCAAGAACCAGGAGCACTGATGTCCAAGGGCAGAAGAAGACCAATGTCTCAGCTACATGAAGAGTGAATTTCCCCTTCCTCCAGGGTTTAGCTCGACGCAGGCCCTCAGCAGGTTAGATGAGGCCCACCCTCGTTGGTGAGGGTCACCCTTTTACTCAGTGTGTTGATCCAAAGGCTAATCTCATTCAGACACACTCAGAAATGATGTTTTCCAGGCATCACGTAGCTGCCCGCCTCTCAAGTTGACTCATGAAATGAACCACGACAGGGTCTGAAGTTCCTTCAGGTTGAAATTTACACACAGCCTGCACCAGGAGAGACTGTGAAGGCTCCTGGTGCCCACAGACAGGCCGCAGCTCACGTCCTGGTGGTCAGCACGTCAGAGTCCATGAGTCAGTCACAGCGAGAATCAAAATTCCAATAGTCAAAGTGCATATATCCCTTATCTATCCGTGTGTTTTCAGAAACTTCAGGAGCATATTATACCTCATGGGTGAATATGGTTAGAGGAATTTCTCTTTGTCTAGTTAAATTTCTTTTTACATCGTGTGTGTGTGCTCCAATAACAATAGTAATAATAAAGATATTTGCACAGGGGGAAGATATAGCTATGAGGGGACCAGGAAAAGGCCTGTACTTAGGTACTGCCTACCCTGCATTTCCCAAGTCAGCCATGAAGCTGGCCAGCTCTGCCCCTGCCCCTCCCCATCACCTTGCCACATTCCAGGCAGTCACTTAGGGAGGCCCAGGAGGTGCCAAACCTTGAGACTTGGTTGGAACAGCCAAGGGAGGTCCTGAGATGTTAGAGTTGCAAGCAGCTCTGAACACCGTCCAGCCTCAAGCACGCTTCAGGAGGGAGCCACCGAGGCCCAGCTGCGAGGACTTAGCTACCCAGTGGCAAAGCTGGAAACAGAGACCCTGGCCTGCCCACTCCCACGCCTGCTCCTGTCAGCCTTCCACACTCCCTCCCGTTTGTAGCTGCTAAGGCTCAGGAGCTTACTAACCTCCCTCCACAGACCCCTCTTCAAAACAGGGGAGGGCCCTGGCCAGTTTGGCTCAGCAGTTAGAGCGTTGGACCACAGACCAAAGGGTCTTGGGTTTGATTCCTGGTCAAGGGTATGTACCTGGGTTGCAGGTTTGATCCCTGCCCTGGTCAGGGCACGTGGGGGAGGCAACCAATTGATATTTCTCCCTCTCTCTTTCCCTTTCTCCCTCCTTTCCACTCTATCTAAAAATCAATGGAAAAATATCCCCAGGTGAGGATTAACAAAAACATACAAACAAAAAAAGAGAGGGGAGGGGAGGGGCTGGGAGGAGAGAGGAGGTGGAGGAGAGGGGAGGGGAGGGGAGGGGAGGGGAGGGGAGGGGAGGGGGAGAGCAGAGAGAGGGAAACCAAAGGGAAGAAAAGAGAACAGAAAAGGGAGAGTCTCCTCTACCACCTAGGCAAAGAAGACAGAGAAGACAGCCTGTCTGCATCTCCCCACCTCCCGCTCCCCCCCCCCCCCCCCCCGTGTCTCCCATTCTCAGCTGCCAGCAGCCTTCTGTGACATTGCTTTTACTCCAAGGCTACCTTTGACCTTCATCCAGGTGACCTCTCGTCAAGAAGAATATCACAGGTCAGGATATGACTGTCCCAGCCCCACTCACACTAGAGATGGCCAAAGTAAGAGGATCCCAGGGATAAGGGACAGGCCGGGACCCCATGGGACCCTTACTGGACTAATGGCAGAGGGAGGGGATGCTCTTGCTTGAACTGTGCTCGCCTCGCCAGGAAGTAGCTGCCGGCATCTCTTCCCCTCTGTGGGAGGCTCAGAGGAGCAGGGACTCCTCCTGCACTGAGGGAGGCTGCCCACCCGGGGCAGAGCGCACGTTAGTTTTTGCCGGCTGTCGCCCTTGGGTTTTGAACAAGTCAACTTCCTTATGTAACTGCATGATGAAACATCCCCATCCATTCCATTGCACAAAGTAAGCAGCTAAAAATGCACGCAGTCCCAACCCATACCATACCAATGACAAAGGGTTGATGAGCCCTGGGGGTGTGGGACCCCCCCAGTAGTAGCCCAGTTCCAGCCCTCCTGCTGCATCCTGACCCAGCCCAGCCCCCAGACTTTGACATCCACCGTCCACCTTCCAGGGACCGTTGCTAGGAGACGAAGAGACAGCTGGCTGGGTCCACTGCCTGGCCACTGTGGGGTGGGGGAGCAGAACAAGGAGGGCCACACAATACAGTGTTTGGCCTTCAAGTCACAGGTGCCTTCTGGGCTTCAGCAAGGCTTGCTCTGTGGTGAGGCTCTTACCCACAGTGAGGGGCCTCGCGTGCTCAGGGGTCACTCCATCGCTGATGAGGATCCTCGGAGGATGTGTCTAAAGTGTAGAACATACACACACACCTCTACACTACCTACACAGACCCACATGTACACCTACACACACCTCTGCACAGCCCTGCACTCACACCCCGACTCACACACTCCTACACACACATACATACCCTTACACATGCCTACACACATCCCTACACACACATCCATACCTCTTCTTCATGTAATAATTCTTAGGTCAAAGCACATTTATAGGCCATCAGGACGAGGGTGGTGTGTGTTATATCTGAATATTGGTCCCTCAAAGGTAATATGTTGGCAGCCTAACCTCCCTAAATTCAAAGGTATCAGGAGGTGAGGCCTTTGGCAGATGATTAGGTCACCTAATCACTAATGGAATCAGTGGCCTTACAGGTAGGCCTCAGAGAGCTCTGGACTCTTCCAACCTGTGCGGTTCCAGCTACAAACCTCACCTGCCCTTGCCAGCACCCCGATCTGGGGCTCCCATGCCGTAGCCGTGAGAAGTAAGTTACGTTATTCATCAGCTACCAGGCTGTGGTACTTTGTTATAGAGGCCAAAATGGACTAAGACTTGTGTTAATCAGTTTGGGCCGCCAGACTGAGTGGCTTAAATACTAAAATTTATTTTATCACAGTCTAGAG